CACACACACACACACACACACACACACACACACACACACACACACACACACACACACACACACACGTTCCTTTTGTTATCCGTGTTTGAGTCCAGGCGGTTGGTTCCGTTACAGATCTCTTTCCAGCTTAATCCTCTTTTGGTTGAATTCATTTCGTGTCCTTGGCTCCAAACTGGTAGGAGCTGGAAAACACACAACTGAGATTTCATCCTGTGTACAATCAACACACTGAGGTCAAATGTTCACATTCACTCATCGTGAGCTTGAATGTCAGAATATTCATGAGTTTTAAGGATTTTTCTGAAACTGCCTTAAGTTTATAAACCTTCTTATTAGATTCCACCTCTCTTTGTCAAACACAATGTTTCTTTTAGCCAAACTTGAAACAACAAAGGCAGCACTGGGGTGGGGCGGATGAGGGGCGGGGGGAGGTGTATGATCCATCCGAACTATTGCAGTTACATGACGAAAATTGTCATTCTGTGTCAGAAGTTCRTGGGCCTACGTGTTTATGCTGAAAGTGCTTGAACGCTGCATTTTGCTTCATTTAAAAAAGGCAGCCAAACAGCCCAAAATTCATGAATGGAGATTAAAAAAAATAGACACTTTGCACAGAGGAATCCATCAGCAGATAAGTGTGGAGCTTTGTTTCAGCGGGAAGGAGTTCGTAACCTCATGAGCTGTGAAAGGTGCATGTGAAAACAAACGTCAAACAAACACAACCAGCTTCAGATGCAGTGTGTGGAGGCCTTTAAAGTCGACCCACCACTGAAAAAGCAGCCAGGTAGTCACAGAACTGCATCGGTCTGTGAGCGTGTGTACAGGTAAGACGCTATCGCAGCTCAAATGTGGGATGTGCTGATGACAGCCAGTTGTGGGATTATAAAATAAGGTTTTAACATAAATATCACTCTAATTAATCTGTGGAGCAGAGCTGTGAAAATGACTTTCCTACCTTAGCTTCACTTGGTGTGTTGGTATGAGTAGTTTGTGTGTTCTGCAGGAGTATCCATGGCATCCTGCTGCTGACCGCCATTTTCCTGAATGAGAATAATCAGATGAAGCATCTTAATAAATAAGGATGCAATAAAATGTATCATTATTTAGACAAGTCAACTGTATCTTTATCCCTCTTTTTCAATTTTAACCTATTTTACAGATTGACCTAACCCAGGGGTGGGCAATGCTGGTCGTCGGGGGGCCGACAGTCCTGCATGTTTTCCTTGTTGCTCTGATTCAACACACCTGATTCAGTGAGTGAACTGAAATTGAATTGAAAGCTTGGTAATCACCCATTCATTCAAATCAGGTGTGTTGAGCAGAGAAACCTCTAAAACATGCAAGATAGTTTAGGATGAGCATTGCCCTGCCCTGACCTAACCTACTGACACGCAAATATTAAAGCAGATTTTTCTTCAACAAGAAATGATTGGTTTGTTACTAAATAAGGAAAACCAATTGTTACACGCCCTAAAAAGATCATCATTCTTATTAATTCTGTTGTTTCGGTGAGAGAAGATTATTATTCCATCAACTGGAACTTTGAACAGTCACTGTTTTTACTTCAGTGTCTCCACTCAGTCACTTCTAGAAATGCTAAAGCCGGGTTCCCACCAAATGCATTTTGAGTAGCCAAGATGCTCCTGCCGGATGCGTTTGGCTGCTTGTCAACAGCTGTCCGTTCACACCGAACGTGTCTGAAGACGCGCAATGGGAGGATCGAGGTGGTTTAGTTTTGCCCCTCCAGGAGCTGCGAACAGAGGGACTGTTTTTTTTTTTTTGTCCCGAGCTCAGGAAGCTGCTGTCTCATCACATCAGAGCTGATTATCTCCAGCCAGAACACCAAGTGCAGACGGTCGATTTCAGCTAAAGGCTCCTGTCCGTCTGTGTCGGGTTCAGGAAACCGTCACGTGAAAAAAATATTCTCCACCGATTGGTTCCTGCTGCACGTCGAGCAGCCAAAGTTCAATTTGTTGAACTCCAGCAGCCGCTGCTTTGGACCTTGTCGCATGTGCGGAAAATGCTCTGCCGCATCCTACCGCTACCTTGTGCGCTGCTCTGAACTGCCAAAACGCGCCGCAACACGCTGTGCTGCTCCTAGATGCACGGCCACCATAGACTTTGCATGTAAACTGGCTGCTATTGCTGCTCCAAATGCGTTTGGTGTGTACCCGGCTTAAGAGTTTAAATGGTCAGGCATCCACTGCACAGACGCAGACTTTAATACCTCGACTGGAACATTGGAGGGAGGCACTGGGGTGTACTGGGGGATGTAGGTCCCCTGCATAGTCGCGTTGGCCGGAATATACTGGAAGGAAGACAGAAAGGGGGGAAAAAAATGAGTGATGTGCTCGACGTGAATATACTCAATGCAAAACATTTGTGTGTGTGTGTGTGTGTGTGTGTGTGTGTGTGTGTGTGTGTGTGTG